AGTGCGCCCTGGCTCTGCTCTCTGCACCTGACCGCCGGCTCCTGGCACCCACAGCCAGCACGCAGCAGGCGGCTGGCGCCTGCTGACCCAGTGCAGGTCCGGGCCTAGATGCAGCGGCGGGGGCACCGGCCTGCGGCCAGTCCTGCGCCCGTCGCCTGCGGCTGCAGCGGGCAGGCGCTGGGGCAGAGGGCGGGGAGGCAGGTGGGCAGTGGCTCCACACCGCGCCAGAGCCGCCAGCGCTGCGGGCCCTGCTCTTGTGCTGGGAAGTGGGTGTCAGAGCAGGGTGGCCCTGAGCCCCCTCAAGGAGGGTGAGGCGCCTCCAGGGTGAGGCTTCCCTGTGCCAGCCACCTGCCGGGCACCCCCAGTGGGCCTGGCCAGCGTCAGAGGCGGCACCCTTCCTGGGAGAAAGCCACCCCTCTGGGGCTCCGGCTCTCCGCGGGGCGCCAAGGCTTCCGGTGGAAAGGGGGGACCCGTCGGGCGAGGGGCGGGGCCGCGCGGGGGTGGGCAAGGGGCCTGCAGGCCAGCAGCTGGGAGGCCGTCCTGGGCCTCTGCCCATGCAGCCCAAAGGGAAGGCAGGGACAGGCCAGGACCCCTAATCCCTCACCACAGAGGGAAGGGAAACCACAGAACACGCCCTGGCCAGGGCAGCTGACCCTACAGCGTGAGACACGGGCGCCGGTTCCCCGGGGCCTACAGAGAGGCCAGGCGGCCGCGCGAGAGCCTCAAGGCAGGCCAGCCGGAGGGCCAAGGGACCCCGGCCCGGCGCCTGTCTGGGGGACTGACTGACCCCTGCGGGGCAGCAGACAGCAGCGCCCTGTGACAAGGCGACCATGATGGGGGGCTTCCCGGGCGTCCACCAGGCGAGGGCTGGACCTGGAGGGCAGGCGGCCCAGGGTGGGCTGCAGGCACGGCTTTGGGGCGGCCCTCTGGTCAGTCCTGGGACGGGGCCCCAGAGGCGGCCCTCCTGGACAGAGCGGCAGTAGTGGCCGGATTCAGGCTGGACACCAAGCGAAGGCCCAGGGGCCACACAGGGCTGGGGTGGGGGTGGGGCAGCAGGCTGGAGGCCAGGAGAGCGCTGAGGATGTCCAGTCAGAGGGGGGCAGGGGACAGAGGGCAGCCGAAGGGAGCTGGCCACCGAGATGGGGATCTGAGGACACAGGAAAAGGTGCTTTTGTCCAGCAGTGGGCAGGAAAGGCCAGGCCGTCCCGAGGGGCCAGGGGAGGAGCTAGCGGCGGAGGGGGACAGAGCAGCCTCTGTGAGGGGAAGCGCCCAGCCGGAGCCCACAAACCTCTTGGGGCGCCAGAGAGGCGGGGGACCCTCCCGCGCG